TAAATCAAGGGAAACTGATTATACAGGACATCTCCCGATTATGACAGTTAAACAACGCAATCGACAAGCTATAACTAGGCCCAAAAAGGTTTGTAAGAAATGCCAACAAAGGGAAAAGGAGCTTGGAGCCGTCGAAAGCAAACTAGACAAAGTTGAAAAGTTAGTGGATGAGCTGAAGATGAGCGTAGATGATGTTCACGAAGAAGTCAAAGAAGAAGGGAGCAGTAACAATAACGCAATGTTTGCTGACTGGGTAATTAAAATTTTGTCTATAAATGAATAATGTTATAATTATTACGTAAATCTTTATCCTAATTATTTCCTCCTCCCCTTTTATTTGATAGACAACAGAAAGTCTAAATCAATTTGTACATAGAATTAGCCAGGTGCTTGAAAGTAGCTCGGTAGACCGGATTCACGATAATTCCCTGTAGCTCAGGAGTTGGGGGCAATTACGGGCAAAATTTTTTTTTAAAACTATATAATTTTTAATTTTAAAAACTTCACATTTATTCTCTTTTTCGTAATCTTCGATTGAATTTTTTGTTAAGCATATGATGAAAGTACATTTAAGAATTTGTTAGTAAAAGAATTATAATCGTCAAAAATATTACACAATAAAATATACGCGTTAATGCTAGAAACTACGGCTTGCCGATGCAGTAAACACAACGATTTCCGGTCACAACGGAGATCTGCATTAATGCTATGGTGCACTTTTTGCTTACAATGACCACTTTGCATGGAATTGTTGTTATTCGTACAAACAGTACACTGTTGTTACATAGTCCTAATTGTACCAAGAAGTAATAATGATGAAGACCGAGGTAATAAACACATGGTTACATTAGTGGTGCATGTGCTTTTGGTTTTATTAATATGTACACGTGTTTTAATTTTACTGCATTGTGATATATAATACGGTACCAAATCTCCGGAGTTTTATTATCTTATAAAAACGTGTGTGCATACTCTTGTTTCAAGTTGTGTTAAAATAAAGTATCATATTACGATTACGTTGATTGAAACTTACTATTGAGGTAAAAGTCGGATTCATAATTAACTTTTATGATGGTAATACATTGTCGAGTCAATGGTGAAAAACAGTTGATATGCATGCAATTGTTCTGGTCCTTTCTGGGATTTGGGTTGTCACTATTTGCCTTCGCTGTCGCATGTACCTAATTGTAATTATTGTGGCTGTGCTTAATTTTATTGGTGCACGAATTATTGATAATGCTATATATCCCGAACGGGGAAAATCCAGATCTGCATTGTGGTACTGCATAAAGCTGTACCTATAAATAAAATCGAATGTTCTCATCGTATAACTTTGGAAAAGTTTATACTCGATTTTCTTGTGATTTATAATTTGGCTTTCTTGTTCAGGTAATATTGATGTCGGAAATGCCCGTTTCGACTTGCTAAATTTAATCCGCAACATTATTATATGCACAAATCACCTGTACAGACATGCGATGTGGATAGCTTGTTTGTCAGTTATGTATTTGCCAAGTAATCTGAAATAATTGGTTGATGCTTCAACAGTGGTGCTTCATTACAACGAGTTGCATGGGACAACGTAATGCCTGACAGAAAGAATAGTCTGGAAGGTTGAGAGATTTTATTTGTTCCTCGGACAGTTGACAAAGCATATTAAATTTTGCTTATTAAGTATAGATTGTGTCTGAGATCATAAAACTATTGGAGACGAGGTTATTCCCAACTTGTTTCCAACTCATATTCACATAAACGCAGTGATCAGACCTTAATGTATTTCATAATAAAGGAAAGCCAATACCCGAGCTGAGGTTATATATGGAATCGAAACGCCGTAATAATATCCCTGCAGAGATTTTGACGAGTCAAAAAATAAAGTTACCCATATAAAGCGAATTTTACGATTGTATTTGCTATAATAGCGATACTTGAGTTGGCAATGGACGGGACAGAATGTTGTCTGCCGTTAACAGAAGACAGATTAATGCAATTGGCTATATCGAGTTTCGCAAAAAACATAATCTTCTGGATAGACTGGGACAGACACTTATAAGATATTATTAACCTAGTTTGTTGAACAAAAGAGACGTTAACCGAAAAGATGATAATATAATAATATCACTTTCATAAACCCGCACATTCTTCAGATCCCAATCTAATCGAGCATGTTTAACATAAGTGAAATCTGACAATTCGCTGTTGCGGTTAAGGACAATGGTTAATTTAATTAATTTCGTAGCAGAAAGTATACCTCGTTAGAGTTAGAGTTTAAACTTAATAATAATATAGTTACGATTTACAAACAAACAGATCGACAAGTGGTTTCTTGGCATATTGGTCACATATTTATTTACATCTACAGTATTTACATATTTGTTTACACGTTGATATCTACACATCAGTTATTGGTGTTATTATTGTCTATTCAATATCATTCTTGGTCTCTTATTTGTTTGCTCATAGTTATACTTTCTCGAGAATGGTGAAATGCACAGTTATTACTCAACTGTACGTTGACTTTACTTAGAACCAAAAACTACTTTTTATGTAAACTTTTAGATTGTTTTCCAGTTACGCCTGTCTTGCATCACTTTAGATAGCGAATAGAAGATATATCGAATATCACATTGGCACAAAGGTGACCTTTTGAACGTTCGCTTTGAACGCATTCTCCTGTTGTCATTTTTATTACTTACGATTGGCTGTTTGTTTTTTACTAAGTGTAAATTTGTCAATTGTAAACTAAGTGTCTATTGTATGTCTTATATTAGTAACCATTATAAACTTTATTAATAATAAACATCAGTACCAGCTAAATTGCTTGCAATTAATGTATCGATGAATCCATTGTGCCCAGATGTTGCAGATCATACTGTTTATAGGGATAACCAAGTCTAGGATTCGATTGTGGAAGCACATATCCTATTAATATTAATACTATTTTCAGATATTATTATTATATTTCTAACTTCTTGAAGAATGTTCACCAAGTCGGCACGGGATTTACTTGATAAACCTCGAAACCGTTCTGATTCACCTAAAAAAGACTTAAGGAGTTGATTATGGCTAATATCTGTGATTTCGTTAATGAACTTTCAGCCTTCTGACGATTTGTTTCTTCATGTGTTATTGGAATTTGATTGCCAAACGCCTAGTGATGTTTCTTTAGTTGGCTTTGCTTTAATAAAGTCTATTCTTCTCCTACGAGCAATTTTACCAAATCTTTCATTTCTTCACTTAGCATCCACTCCACTTATGTCTTGAAACCCACGATTATTGGCGGTTTGGGTTTACAAATTTGGTCTTTATTATTCGAACCCGAAATCGACGTGATTCAGCAGTAAAGCTAGGACGTGTACGAGGTCCGTGCATTTTACTTTCATTAAATTAAAAAGGTTAGTACGCAATTTCAAAAAATTTTGTATAACTACGTGCTGCTATCTCACCAGCAGGAACTAAAGATTTGAGCATTTTGTTAATTCTTCCAATATTACGTCATGATCTTGATGTTGATTCGATAGTTTAGAACGTGAAGTTATAATTCTTTCTTGAATCAACTCGTAAATTTCGGGTCTTAATCGTAATCTTTGATCTTCGGCAGTAACTTCAATTAACCGGTAAATAGAATGTCGCCGAGCAGACCAAATCGGTGCGAATGTTCGTCTAGCTGCAAGTCTTAATGAAGGCCTATTAAAACGAGCTACAGTCCTAATACGACCCCTTGTTGGTCATTAAATGCTTCATCTAACCGCTTCTTTAATGCTACATTCTCAGATGATAGATCTTGTATCCGTTTCATGATCTTCGCATGCTGGATCCAGCAAGGATACTTGGACTCCAAATTCAGAAGTCTTTTCGAATTCTAACAATTCGATATCGCTAGAGAGTTTTGGTCTTTTCTTCTGTTTTAGTAACTCGTTTATTAATGGACTAATTTGGTTATAGTGTCTTTTGCACAATGAGTAATTTTCTAACGAGTCAAATAATGCAGATAGTTCCGGGAAATATTTAACCGTTTCTTTTATTTCCTTTGCTGCAACATTAGCTGCTGCATGTCGCCATTTTTGACTCTGCTTAGTCTCACATCTTGTTGACTGACTTTCGTCATAGACGTTGGCAAGAGACTCGAACAGACAAGGTAAAATTTTTTTGCGTTCATAGTACAGCGAGGTGTAAATTTAAACCAAATTTAATAGAAAGCTACTATGTAAAGTTGTGGGGATTCCTGGGGATTATGAAACTGTATACTCGTAAAAGTATGTTTCTATCGTTTTATTTGAAGTATTCGATATAAGCGTCGCTAACAATGTCGATCACCAATCAGATTTCGAGATTTTTTTGCAGATTATTCTAGAATCGATCTGACTGTTTCAAATACAGTATCAAGTTTCAAACATGTTCACGCGCACAACATTATCTGTTATAGATACAGTTTTACATGTTAAGATTTCTTTGTGAAGCATTGGTATTTTCTTTGTTTTCACTGTTTGAGTTTGATCCTGTTTTGAAACAGAAGAAGGATTATTATTATTGTTATAGATCTAACTGTGCAAAGTATTTCTTTTCGATGTTTTAATTAGAAACTGTTTGTTTCATTTTACAATAGCTTTGAACTAGCAAAAGAACTTTAATTGTTTTAATGTAGATATTGTCATTTCTAATTCAACAAGAGGGCGCCAGCAGCTATTTAAAAGGCGTCAATAGTTTGGAGAAGTTCATTCGTGAAAAAAGGGTAAATTCGATGAAACAAAGTAGCATAACACAATTCTTAGTTAGCAATTAGAGTCAAGCTTTTTATATAAAGTTAGCTAGAACCTATAATAAAGGAAAATCTGTTTAATCGACGTGATTGTTAAAACTCTTTATTAAGTAAACCCCCTCCCTAAATAGTGTTAGTGTTTATATTTAATATTAATAAAACTAATTTATCGATCTGGAAAGGGTTAAATTACACTCTAACATTAACTTTGGGAAGAGTTTTGATTTTGATGATCACCACCATCAATGGGAGCGGTTTATTCTAAAAATAACTTTATAGTATATTATTGTTTCAAATTTCGTCTATCAGGCACACCCTAACTTTATTAATTGCTCTAAAGTGTGCATAATGACTGAAGTTAAACTTTTTATATGTTATAGTCTCGCATTCCGACATCCAAATCTTTACTTACCGATCGGCAAAGAGAATTGGTATGTTAAAAAAAGGGATTGTGAAAGTCTCATTTGGAGAGATGAAAGTCGCTTTACAGTATTCAAGAATGATGGGTCCAGGTTGTCTCCCGGAACAAGATTTAATATAGAAAATGTGGTTTCATGGGGGGTGGAGGTTTGATTTTTTCTGGCAGAGGCTTAGATTGGTAGACCCGATTATGTTCAAATACTTGAAACTCATTATTAAGATTTTTGGTGGAAAGGGGGGGATATTGTAATTGTGGTAAATGCGCGCTTTATTAAATCGGATTATAGAGTGGCGTACAATCATTTAACCTTATGCTTTTTGTGTGTATAAATTACTATATTAGGCAGTACAAATCGTGATAGGCAGTCAACAAAATGGCTAATTCAATAATAATTCCCCAGGATTCAAATGCTTAATAAACATTCAATCGGCTACTCGCGCTGAACCCTTTCATATTATTCAACCACGATTCAAATGCTTAATAAACATTCAATCGGCCACTCGCGCTGAACCGGAAATTATACCGAAATGTGTATCACACTAGCATATTATAAATACCGCTATATGACACTCGCCATATTTCCAATATCAGCAATGAGCTGTGAGAAACATAGCATCAATCTCTCAGAAACTACACAAGCTGTAGCTGATCCACCGCGCAAACGCAAGGAGCGTAAATCAAGGGAAACTGATTTTACGGGGCATCTCCCGATTATGAAAGTTAAACAACGCAATCGACAAGCTACGATCAAGCCTAGAAAGGGTTGTAAAAAATGCCAACAAAGGAAAAAGGAGCTTGGAACCGTGGAAAGTAAGCTAGAAAAAGTTTACAAGTTAGCGGATGAGCTGAAGATGGACGTTCACGAAGAAGTCAAAGAAGAAGGGAGCAGTAACGATAAGGGAATGTTTGCTAACTGGGTAAGCAATTGAAATCTTGTCTAGAAATGTTACAATATTACACTAATTAATCTCCCCCTTTTATTTGGTAGACAACAGAAAGTCTAACCAGTTTTATAGGCCAAGTAAGTTTAATACTTGCGACGCAAGGAGCAAGATATCCTCCCAAGCAACCGACTCAAGAGGGAAAATTGACAGATATCGAAGTAGCGCGGTTGCTTCTTCGCCTTAAGCACAATAATATGTAATTATATTACATAAAAATTTTTAGTATGTTTCCTATGATAATAATCGCACAAATTATGAATAAATATGGTCTCTATGGCAGTTAAGATTTAAACGTTGGCAGTAATGAAGTTGTGTTCTTTTAATTTCTACAAACGATTGACGCAAATTGTTAATCCCCTCGCATTACTATATATCCTTAATTATAACATTGCTTTCCAGAGGATATTGCTCCTATATAAAATAACAACCGTACAATTAAACTTTTGATCTTAGTAAGCATATTAACTGCGTAACACACCCTAACCTATGGTTGACTACATATGGTTACCTCGTATTGTAAGGGCCTTCTCAACTGCTTTGATGCCCCGATCAAATTTGGAAATGTATACAGTACAAGTAGGGGCATCAGTTCTCAACAGCCTTTGTAAATAGAGTAATACTGTATTTAGGTTTTGGGTGACAGATAAAATTAATAAAAAATCGTGTGAATAAGTCGGGTTCATGTGAAAAATAAACAATTTCCAATTTAGTCAATGCCCCTACCAATTTAAGGCAATAATTCCAAATTTGATCGGGGCATCGAGCTGTTGAGATCATTTTTTACGTAACGGTATCCCAGGAACTTAGCTATCACTATGTTAATACCTTTCTGACCCCCAAAAAATTGTACCAATTTGTTAAGTGATTCTGTTGCTTCTTTAATTGATATTGGTAGTCTCCTATTATCATGTCCAAAGAGAATATCCAATCAATTGCTTTGCTCCCTACATGTTGCATACCTCCTCTTAATGCATAAATTATGAGGTCTCGGCGATATGAGTCTGACTGTATTTATAAGGTTTATACATATACAAATGCAGGTATTTTTATACGGTACCGTACAGTTTATGCAAGCGACACAGGTTGTACCAAAACAGGCAAGCTACATAAAACAGTCCAATCCCCTTCATTCAATGCATCTCCTCATTAACAAAATTAACATTTCCCCTGAAAAACGTTTGTTCTGATCCAAATACAGTGATACTATGATTGTATCGAAAGCGCAGTAAGCCTTACCGAGTATTAATAAAAATTGTGTACACATCGGGTAATGCTGTAATATTCATTTCATCAACATCGACGAACATTTCGCCGACAGTACATTTGGTCTAATGACTATCATTATCCATAATAGCAATAGTGCAGAATTATAAAGTCGGTACTATTTCTGACGCTATCTACCGGTTTCTAGTCATTATTTGGCTGTAGGATTCGATATACAGTATAGTATTTGATTACATGAGATAAACCCAATCGCATATTTTTGTTCAATACGCCAAAAGGAGGGTACTCATTCATCCACAATTCTGCACTATCTTTACGTTTCCATTATGGGGTAATGATAACTATTAAAAAGCCTTTCGGCGAAGACATGAACCGGACCCATGGTATTATGCATGACATATTGGTCACATGTTTATTTACAACTATTTACATATTTATTTACACGTTTATATTTACACATTGGTTATTATTATTACTATTATTATCTATCCAATACAATTCATCGAAGAACAGTCCCTTATTTGTTTGCTCATAATTATACTTCTTGATAGGGGCAGTGGACAAACGCTTAATTATGGGTGATTGTCATATTAATAAAGGGGATAAAGCCTAACTTAAAGTGAAACAGGGATCGTATTGCTCGATCATATTGTTAATAACGTACATAATAATAAGGAGACCAGTGAACTGTATATTGCTCACCTTAAAAAATCATATTATAAAGACATAAAATAAAGTACATAATAATAAAGTCTAACTTAAAATAAAGGTAGGAACTGTCTTAAAAAAAAAAGTTCATATACATATATATAAAAATTTTTTTAATGGCCAGTGCCAGTTTGACTTCCCCGCCCGCCGATGGACAGTCGTCTCGTTAGCAAACGGCGACGCTTTTCGTAACCGTCCGACGGTGGATGATAGTCATCGTAGTTAACAAAGCGTGATTTTGTTTCTTTTGGCCGCGAGGCCGAGTAAAAGGATGTCTGTGTCCAGCGCAAATTTCATTTGTGTGATGCGCGGTATTACGTTGGAGCATTCCAACTAGTAGAGATCGATGGCTTTGTGGCGAGTTATATTATGACAGTTACTGTAGCAGCGATATTTGTGACTGGTATATGACGTTTACAGTCTATGGAAATTGCAAGCTGAAGCTGGCTCTCTATTTATAAGTTTTCGACATGCTTATTATTACTGGAAAACGCTATTGTACATTCTTTTTAACAAACCGTAATTTTAGTAGTTGCGACTCATTATGATGACGCATTAGTGCGGAGCGCAGCGTGGCGCTGCGCAATTACATTTATTTCTGAAAAAAGAAGGACAAAAGCAAATGATCGAACGTTTGTGTTGAGTTGTACTTGTTTTACGTTTATCTACAAATAATGACGTCCATATGTTACCACAAACTAGAAAAGTCTGTCTGATAGTTTAAATAATAGAAAATTCACGAATAATCAAACAAAGAGTAAGTTGTTTCCATATGGAAACGTGTGATCATACCGCAGTACACAATGGCCGCTTGCATGTCCGGCGTAGTAAATTATTCTCGGTCTTTGCTTGATACTTTATATGGAGAAATTAGTACAACTAAATAACGACATCAAAGAACTGTAGAACGTCACGGATAATCCATCTTCTAATTACCTCGCCTTTGAAAATCAAAATGGTGTCAACAAAGCCGTGATATTTTATATGGAGATGTAACAAAAAATCAATACAACTAAATAACGGCATCAAAGACCTGTAGAACGTCACGGATAATCCATCTTCTAATTACCTCGCCTTTGAAAATCAAAATGGTGTCAACAAAGCCGTGATATTTTATATGGAGATGTAACAAAAAATCAATACAACTAAATAACGACATCAAAGACCTGTAGAACGTCACGGATAATCCATCTTCTAATTACCTCGCCTTTGAAAATCAAAATGGTATCAACAAAGCCGTGATATTTTATATGGAGATGCAACAAAAAATCAATACAACTAAATAACGGCATCAAAGAACTGCAAAACGCCTCGGATAATCTATCTTCTAATTACCTCGCCTTTGAAAATCAAAATGGTGTCAACAAAGCCGTGATACTTTATATGGAGATGCAACCAAAAATCAATACAACTAAATAACGGCGTCAAAGAACTGCAAAACGCCACGGATAATCTATCTTCTAATTGATTGGAATTACCTCCGCCCTTGGAATCAAAATGGTGTCAACAAAGCCGTGAAAGAATTATCAATTATTGTATGTGAAACCTTTTTTTGTCGAACAGCAATCCAAACGAGAAAGACAAGTTTTCCGAGTTCATTGATTGAAGAAAGAATTACTAACTTTATTAGATCGAACAATGGTATCGATTTTACCTCGTAGAGGATTACGCATTATCTTATTGATGATGCATCTTTGGTAGTTACTGTATGACAGCATTATATTACAAACGTACGATTACATTTATAACAATGCTAACATGACAATTGCATTGTAAGTTATCCAAAAATTGCTAGTGTCTGAAGTAATAAAAAAAAACTTATCTACGTTTGTTGAAGTTACCAATCAATTGAGTGCGCAGTAAAGCTGCGACAAGCATCTTTGGGCCGAGTGGAATAGCAAGAGGAGTTTTAGAGAAAACAAAAAAAAAGATGTCGTGTTTATCACGGACATGCCGTCAGATTGGGATTGTCAATGTAGGAAATGTGGCGAGTCCATCACTATATCGATACCAACGTACTAATAATCTCGTTGTCTAAACTCCTTGTCATTACATAATAATAATGACTTTGTGATAACTCATTGACAACTAATAGGGATTTATTAACTACGAAATATAAAGGCTTTTAACTGTGCCATAAACCTGTTTATCACGACATGTCATGGTAGTTGTTGACATCTGATATTATTAATAACATCATCATTATTATTAATGTTGGATAAATTTGGCAAGATTTTTTGGGGTCGCGCCAATACTAACCACATGTCATATTGTACGACTTGAATTATAAATTTTAGTGTTAATTTTAAAGACTCCACTGTAATTATCCAAGCCAATTGCGGTATTGGTATTGGAATGTCTGCCTAATCGAATCGGTACTGTGGTATTAGACACAGATTTGTAGAGTTTGGCAATATGATAACCAAAGTAAGCGGTGTTCATGCACTATGTGTGAATAATGCTAAGAGTGGGAAAAGAACAGACCATTTATTCATTGGCAAGCAATCATATGAAGTCAAATTTACTATTACCGCTTACATTATCAGATACACCAAATAGAGTTAAAACTTGACACTTCACGTGGCTTGTTGCTTATCGTGATCACGTGAATAAAGACTGCATTCGACATACAATGTTGGAGATAACTTGAATCATAAAGAATTCCAACAGATCCCGAAACAACGTCCCCCGATTAGCAGCTCAACAGTTATGGCCAATAGCCACAAGCCTGCCATTACCCTTCATACACAAGGAATAAATGGGACTTCAACATTGAATACGCGAGGTTTGAAAATGACAAAGAGTACAGATACTCTTACGAGTCATCCATTATTAAACGAAGACGACGATTTGGAAGTGAACGCCGCCTGGTTCAATCAGAGGAGTAGACGGTCACCGTCTTCAGGCTCTACGTCTTCGCAGGCATTGCTACAACCCAAGATTAATGGTACTCCAGTACCTAATGGTTCCGTTGGTGCATCTATGCTCAACATGTTGAAGGAGATGACGATAGGATTTTCGGACGTTGTGCAATTGTTGATTTCAAAGAAGGTTGCAACAATGAAGTGCCTTTTTTTTGTTTTGTTTTGTCGAAGATTGGGGAAGAATTCGTAGGCGTGGCAAAGATCAAGTTTGATTCATGAATGTGTTTTTTGTTTACGATTAGGCGACCGTGTTGCTTGCCACTGCGGCTGTAACAACACCGTTTTTAACGATGGAACGTGAATTTCTGGAAGATAATATTATCATTACCCAACAATCAGACGACAAAATCCTGGCGATTACGTTGAGTGGAATTAGAGTGGTTTTACTAGGGTAGAGGTTACTTTACAAGCCATTAATGTATTATGTTTTCTTTATTCCGCTATGTTTGAGCTCGTCATTAACTATCGCCATTTTATTTGCGCAAAGGGATTCACTGATTTCAATCGGCCTGCTTCCTACAGAGCAAGAACTGGGAAATATTTTGGATGACACTACAAAGAAACAAAAGTAAGTTTTCGTTTTACTTTGATCATACTAAATTTTTGCCTCTACTAATATTGCACAAACACTCTGAATATAGAACTCTCTTCGATGCTTTCTCATCATCAACAGATCCAAGCTCGTTCCCGGCCATAAAAATAATCAGCCACAATGCAGACATCATGCTCCATGGAATGAATATTCGTGCGTTATTGATAGAAACTCCTCTGATAAAACGAGAAGTCTCTGAAAGAGTGAATTTTATACTGGAAAAGACGGAAAAAATAAAAGAGATTAGTGATCTACCCGGATCACTACCTGAGGATATTCAGAGGTATTAAATAAGCTATCGTATGAAGATATACGTTCTGTGCCTATACGTGGTACCGACTTGCTACAAAATGTGCCTTTTCATGACGAGATTTTTAACATGGACTCGATTTTTTTTTGGTAGGTTTGTCAAAGAATATCAACAGACACCGATGAAGTCTGAAGAAACCTCGACTGAGAAAATACAAGACTTGTTTGACAGCGTCCGATCGAAACTTGAAGCTGGAGGAGAATTGACTGAAGAACAAGATGCAATAGTTGAATCCAAGTTGAACTCGCTGGAAAAATTTGTCTGCTCTGCATTATACGAAAAGTATATACAAGTCTTTAATGATCAAGTTTGCGATATAACGTATTTTCACTATTAGCGATCTAGCTGATATTTACGCCCATCGTTTTTAATTGTCCCAGTCTTTTCATACCGCCCTGGAGTGATGACGATCTCTCCGACGAAGCATTATGCTCTAAAATCGCCGCGCTTAATCTTTTAGAACTAGGTCTGGTGCACTTGGGTGTCGTCGTTCAATCACACCAGCAATCACTCTTTGACGATGCCATTCAGACGGCTGGTGCTAAATTGCAGTGCCTCCAGTCCATGAAGTCACCAATTGAGAAATTGAACGTTATCGTTGATTGCCATAGGATAATAGTCGGTAATACATCAGGCTCGTTTGTTGAAGATTTTTCGATTTGATTAGCTGACTGCTGACGCGTAAATGCAATGGATTTTTTAGATACGCTAAGTCAAAGTTTGAAGACGCAATCAAAAAGTGATACAAAACAGCCAAAGGATAATCCCGAACAGCCAAAGGATAATCCAGAGCAACCAAAGAATAATTCAGAACAACCAAAGAATAATTCAGAACAGCCAATTGATAATTCAGAACAGTCGAGTGATAATTCAGAACAGCCGAATGATAGTCCTGAACATTCAAATGATAGCCCCGAACGTTCAAATGATATTCCCGAACATTCAAATGATATTCCCGAACATTCAAATGATATTCCTGAGCATCCAAAGACACCAATTTCTCCTGTTACGCCTACATCTCCAATAGACGAGAGAAGGGTATCGAACGCTGATGCCATTCTGCCAATGTTGATTTTTATAGTGGTCAAGGCTAATCCGAGGGAACTGATATCCAACTTGAGGTGAAGGTTTGACGAAATCATTGATGTCATTATTTATATATACGTCTTGCGTCATCGAGTACTCCCGAATTAATATTAACGACATTAATTATAGATTTATTCAACGGTATCGTGTGCGGTCATTACTTCATGGGGAATTATCTTATTGCCTAACGAATGCTGTGAGTGTCACATTGATCCAACCAAGGTTCTATATATTTTTTACGACTATGCTCATTCGGTATATACTTTTCTTTCTAGCTGGCCGTCGTCTCATTCTTGGAGAATGTAGAATTACAAGTTTTGGGACTATCACCGGAGAAGGTAGTGAGGTTAGTCATCCAAGTTGAAACTCCGTTGGGAATTTGCATAATGATATTTTATTCGCTAATACATTCCAAACTCTTAAAATCATCGTTTCGCACAACCAGCGACGTGACTGACATTCACCGTACATCACCGATCCCTCCTCTTCCAACTCCACCCTCCCAACAACCCTCTCTTCCATTCCCTCTTGCCGACCCGCGACGCGTAGGATACGAAATTGTCGGTGCAGCTACTGACAGCGGACTTAAAGTAATCACCGGAATTACCGGCGTAGTCGATACATCCTACAAAATGTTTGGGAGGATACTTGGATACAACGACGCTGGTAGAAGGGAGACAAAGAATGACGATGGAAGTATAAATGAGAAGCAAGCAGTTGAGGTTGAGGTTTCAAGTCCAATCGAGGAAAACGGCAAACGAAAAAGATTTAGTCTTCTCGAAAGAGAATTACCAGATGGAAAGGAATTGGCAGAGATTGGTAAGGTGAAAGAGGATGATAGGACGAAGAAAAATCAGGACGAAAGTAATGAAGTAGAGAACGGGAAGAGCGAAAGAATAAACGAGGATACAGACGCGAAGAAACAGGCCGAGGGAGGATTGTCATTGTACGTAGTCGTTTTACTTCAAATTGGATCTTGTTATGTGATTGATTGTCCATATTGAATATTGGGTAATGACCTATAGGACTAACCGATTGCGACAAATTAGTGTTTTGCCACGATTTTCATCTGAGCGCTCTCAATCGGTAACTGAGGTATGGTATGGAATACAAGCTTAAGTAATGCTTTATACCAATTTCTAAAGTGCGTTCTATATTGGATGTGAACCATAGACAAAACATGCTGCACCGATTCAAGCAAAGAAAATAGCTCCACCCATAACAAAGTTTTTAGAGTGTAAATCTGAGGACTTTAGGGTAGGCGATGTCGCTGGTATGTGTTGTATATGTGACATTATGCGCGCTTTCTCCTTGTGATTTTGTTTAGTAACATGCTTTTGCGAATTCTTTTGATGCAAACAGAGTTGCTAGCAGAGTACAAACGCCTTGCGTCTGCAGTTCAGGAACTCGGACTCTTTTCCACGTCTTCATAGAAATTTGAGAAACATACAAATTAACATAAACCACATTATTTTATCGTTTCAAATGCTATTTCATATATTTTTAGACATTTTAGATTATTACTTTTTTAAACCTTTATAATTTGTCTCATTATAGTTTTCTTTTTCTTTTGTCCCTTGTGTTTCATGACAAAGTTCATGTTTGTTGTATATACGCTTATTATCGTAATATTTAAGTATGAGGCGAAGGCAGACAGTATGTCGTTTTAGTATTTTAATCCTGACGCGGAATACATTAGATATATTAGTATCGCAATGAAATATTATGCTTTATGTGAACATGCATGCAATAAATAGAAGTGACTACGACACTGTCTTCAACTATACACCAACAGTTATGTATAGGTTTTCAAAGTTTTGAGCGACAAGCATTTCATACTTTGTATGCATATCGTATTACAGCCGTTCCTGTTCCTATATTGTCTCAAGGTATTAACTCACCATATGCGCCTATCCAGTACCCAACCATTGGCTGGATACTCATACTAATATCGAATTACCTAGCAAAGGCAATTATTCACACTCTCTAAACGCGTAGATTATTGACATCAGTAATCACAAAAGCTCAGCTGATCGTACCATGCAATTGAGTCTGTGAGCGATTACCACTTTAATAATGTTAAGCGGTAATGTTTCTTAGTGCGAAAGCGTAAACTGTATGCTCTATATAGTCCATTCGGTAGATTTCTCCGCGCTGTTCATATGCACTATGTCTTACGTTGTAACGCGTATCAACATATGTTCACTTGGTATTGTTAGACTTTGAACCTCATATCAATCGAGTAATTTACCTAGCGTTCTTAGTGGGAAATACGTACGTAGCTCCTCCAAATTATTAAGCCAATGGAAAATTTATCCATTCAACTGCATATAAATAGTATCGACATCTTCTAACAAAGTATTGAAATAGATTAATGATGTTCAATAAGTATTTTGGTCTTCAAGTATAACCGTAATAAATATTTAGAGTCAAGTCGATTCCCGATTGTGAGCTAACGGATGCGTCAAATCCAGGTTTCTTGTCACTGCTCGAATATGAGTTGTTTACATATTAATATCCTTATCGCAGTAAACTAGTTCTATTGGCTTGACATTCTCAAACTATTTATTGTTACAATATTTTCTAACAATGCACTATTTTTGGTAAAGTAAATGGATACACTCGACAGACAAAAGTTTAACTGCAAAACTTTCATGACGCTTGTTTCAGAATTTTACTAATAGAATTTCACTAATAAAATTTCTATAATTTAAAAGCTCTATATACAGCAATTATACTTTATTTTTGTTTCGTTGTTGCGATGTATACTGGAGAATCAAAACAACGTCGATTTATGTAAGAAGAAATATGTGAACCAACGCGATGGTAAAGCGATTACTAGTCTTCGCAAGAGTGGTTACATAGTGCAAATAGTAGTAAACTTCGCTGAAATTGTTAAAAATACTATACGACGGTAAACAGATCAGGAATGCCCATAAGCGAAAGAAACAAAGACTTTACTTTTCCAGAATTATTTTATGGTTTCTTGTAAAATGCTATTTTTCTTCTTCTTTTTTTCTCTTTCTTTTTCTCTTTCTTTCTTTCTTTCTTTCTTTCTTTTCTTTTCTTCCTCTTCAGGATACACCAATTATCAAAGAAATTGTTAATAAAATAACACAATTACTACTGATAAAAGTTTTCGAATTAAGTTTCAGTTTACTGAATAAAATAGTTAACGGCCCACAATTGTTAATCTTCTTATTCTGACTATTTTAATTTTAACAGAATACACAGTGGAAGACGATATTAATATAACAGACTGTAGACCAGCGTTTTAGTCCGTAATATCGACTTGTGAGTTTATACCAGATATTGTTTAGTAAAAATTTCATTCCAGGGAAAAGTCCGTTATATCCACTTTCACTGTGTATAATTACAATAAAAAAATGCACAAGACAAAGTAAAGATATTAAAGTTTATTAAATTTTACGGTATTAGTGGATCAAACTTTCGTCTATCAGAGTATGAGGTGAAATAAATGGGAAATTGTGGCAAAGTTAAAGTTTTTACTTAGACAACTTTATAAACATGTAAAATTCATGATATTTTTGGTATATCATTTAGGTAAGTCTACCATAAAATATTCCATTTTCGGGATGTTATGGAACACAAAATGTCGAATTTTTTTTGAAAGAAGGGGGAGTAGGGGTATTGTGCCATTATTTTTTTTTGTGCACACTTTTGTTGGCATGTAACGTCTTTCTTCGTCTTGCTTCTTTACTTGCCATTGTAACAAATATTATCAGTATAGTCCGGTGCAATAATGTACCGTATTTCTCCGACACGAGTCCCCCCCCTCATGAGCTATACCCTGCGGCAATTTTGAAGGCCAAATTTTGATTTACACCCGGGTATTAGTTATGGTATCCTCCGGCATATATACCCCTCTGTGATTTGTACCTTCTAACAGCCAATTAAAATCCACGAGACCATAAGACATGAAACACTGGGAGACTTATGATGAGCAGATAAATAATCTAAATCGCAATTGAATTTTAATTTCAAAGTTCTTTATATACTATACAGTATTAGTAGTATCTAATAACGCGCGTTAATTATAATATACAATTTCGAGAACATGATTCCACAACCAATAGAAGTTTAAAGAAACAAATCGAGATATGTACCCCCCATCAGTACACGAGTACCCCGGGTACTAAAACGAACAAGGAGTATTCGTGTCGGAGAAATACGGTAGATACCTCAGTTTTTTTTTCCATAGAAATTTTTTGAGAAAGTTATTTTTTAATTCTGATCAGATAAATCAATTCTTCAGTCAAGAGGAACCATTTTGATATCAATTTTATTAAAAGTTGATTAGTCAAATTCAACATCATCCTCTAAAGAAAAATTATTGTCCATTTAACAATCATTATCTATCTACAACCAACAGTCCATGCCCTGGTTCTAAAACGACGCCTTGATGAGGACCCAGGTTTTGTTTGATGTATGATAAAGATGACAGTATGACTCGCCTAAGAACACTTCTGGTCGGTTTGGCACGTCATTATCTCCTTGTAAATTAGCAAGCCGATATCGAAGATATGACAGCGAAATATAACGTTATTTGGAAACTCGTGTAAAATATTCCTTCTTTCGCCCTGGCAAAAGTAGTAACCTAAACTGTGTAGCATACGAAAAATTTGCCACTTAGAAACTATATGAAAGAAACTGTCGTGTCACCGCCTTAGATGGGGCCGTCCTGTTTTATTTGATTCTACAATTATTTCACGAATAAACACGGTGAGATATTAGAATCTGGTCGAACCTCCGGTCGGGATCTTATATGGTGTAAAAGATCCGTCATTACATTTGCTCCAATCTTGAATAACCCGCCCAACAGTACTTTCTGAAATGCCCAATACCACAGCAATACGCTTGCGTAGTGTGAGCTTATTGACGGAGGTAGAATCAGAAAAATATTTATAAGCACTAACGATCTTTTTTTTTTTCATTCCCGTCAAGAGCAAACGTTACTTATCAATTGCTGGTATTACTTTATGATTCGTGCATCCGCACGGTTAAAACGTAATAAAAGTTTTAATGCAATCAATCAGCGTTTTGTGTTAATGTTTCACTATATAAACTGCACGATGCTTAGGGTACTCTTCTCAAAGTGGGTTTCCGTTTTTCGTGTCCGGTTAGGGCGAGGCCATTTGTCAGTGTGTCCGACATCGATCGATTTGGTGAAACAAAACTTTTGCTAGTAGCGATTGTATTGAGTATCTACATTTATGCACCGGACCATAATGATTTATTATTTTAAATAGTCAAACACTAATGCAACATCGTCTTTATTAGAACTACCCTCGGAAAAGCATCCGGCGCCAAGCTTTTTTTTTAAAATTTTTAATATTAATATTAATTAAGATTGGGACATATTAATATTAATATATTAACAGACAATCGTATGGTAGTACTATTTACAAATCAGGTAACCGTGGCACTAGTTTTGGTGGGACAAGTACCAAATTGTGGGTTTCTCTTTTCGATGTATCGGCTAGGACAATATCCCCTCGTCTAAACTAATAGCAAACGATTGCTGTTTTGCAACTTACAGCACAAGGGTGCGTTAACTTCTTTTCTTTTCTTTTTTTAAACTGTACCATTCGACATGGAAAGAATTAAATGAGTTTGAACGCAAATTGTTGGAAGGACTAATGAACCTTAACCCGATTGAGTATTTATGGAATAAACTTAAACGAAGGCGTAATAAACATTCTGTACATCCAAAAAATCTTATAGAAAGCATGTCACATAGAATTGAAGCATGCAGTAAGAATCAAGGATGACCTACCAAGTATTAAATGTATTAAAAATTTTTAAATAAATAAAAATTTTCTTTAGCTGCCAGCTTTCCGAGGTTATGACGACTGCTTTTCCATGTTTAACATCAATGCAGCGGATTATTGTCAAAGTTTTTCACTTACTCACTATTGTTGTTTCACACATGTAACAATTGAGCTGTTTGCTTCTTTACTTGAAATCGTAAAGGAATATCATCTCTAGTTATAATATTGCTGTTATTCCAATACGTAGTTCTTTGGAAACTTCTAGGTCTAATATTAAATGATGACGTATTTTCTCTTACATTTCGCATGATGCCATCGCATTTGTACACCCGTAAACAATTAACTAGAACTGGTTAGGTAAAAATGACTTCCACATGTAATAAGAATTGAAATCTCGAGACCTAAGAAGCGCGATTCTTTCTAATAAACGAGCAGTTCTTTATACTCTGAAATACATCATTCGTTCTCTGGTAAATTATTCGATATTGTTGCGAACCACTAATCTCTATATTGACTGGGAATATCCGCCGTTGATATTCTCTTGGCATTACGATTGTTATTCGCTTAAGTGGAAATACATTTCAGATAGATACAAGAGATAGATACAAGTATGGCCAACCTATAGGCTTCCGAATTAATTCCATCGGAAGGGAAATAGTTGTTTAAGAAGACGAATAAGATCGTGAGTAATAAAGCCTAGTTTACAGGTCACTAACTGTCGTCGTATTTAACTTAAAAATAGGAGAAGCCACGGCTCCGTTTGAAAATAGCTCCTTGACTTAAAAACCAGTGAAAAGAATTGATTTATCAGTAATTATCGAATAGGTTACTCCCTTAATAAACCCCAAGGTCAGCGATCGATTGCTCTCCTACTACTACGCCGGTTGTTGACTCGACAATAAGGTCGTCAACTTTGACAATTTCTGACGTCACTGCTTTGCAAGGCATCCTTGTCAGGAATGCCCTCATCTTTTGTATAGAAATGATGTCTTTTTGGATTGGTCAGCTGATCGTTGAAATATGGCCATCAAAACTTTCATTAATTACAACATTTGATGTTGATGTAGTTGATAAATGATATCGAACAATTCTTGGACCCTAGGCAAACTCAAATCTTTGCGTTTATTACGTACAAACAACACCTTGTGGAATGATCTATTTTTGGAATTGACCAGATGATCGTTGAAATATGACCATCAAAAATTACATCCACCTCCGATGTGATTTTACTGATACTGAACAATTCTTGAACTCCTGCACTTTTTATTATATGGTTATTACTCAATTGTACATTGTTACTTAAAACCAAAATGGTTACTTTTTTATATAAACTTTTAGATTGTTTTCCAGTTGCGCCTGTCTTGCATCATTTTAAATGGCGAATAGAAGGTATATCAAAATATCATATTGGTACAAAGGTGACTTTATTGTAGCTTTGAATGAACGTTCGCTTAAGAGTATTTTTGAACGGCGTTCTCCTATTGTCATTTTTATCACTTACGCTTGTGGGGGGTTTTTTTAAGATAGAATTTGTCAATTGTAAACTAAGTGTCTATACAATCATTTAATCTTATGCTGTCATCTCTTCTTTTTTTTTGTGCACATTCTTCGCTTTTTTGGGCCGCAACTTTTTTTTCTCTTCGTCTTGCTTCTTTACTTGCAAGGCAGCCATAATATTAATAGTAATGATATGCTAACTAATGTTGTTTTAAAAAATTTTTTATTATTTAAATAGTCAAATACTAGTACAAAATCGTCATTGCAGCATTTTTTATTAGTATATTTAGATGGGTTATTATTATGATAACTGTTTTCCCATGTTTAACATTAATGTACCGGATTATTTCACTTACCCATTAATGTTTATTTCTTAGAATCACACGCGTAACAATTTAACAGTTTGTTTTGAGAGCGAGTTATGCATTATTTAAAGAAAGGGATATTTCATATAAATTGACAATATTAATCGTTCGCCATTTTTACCATTAAAGATAATTTATGGGAATAGCAATCATTATTATCGACACAACTGAGGATTAAAACAACAAAGTAATATTCGTAATGCCTTTGCTCTTATTCACGAGATGTTTTGTTATTCTTTAACGAGCTACCAGTAATAGCAATATGAAGTTTTCCGATTCGTTTTTGATATGACGACTGATCTATGAAAATGGGTAGTTGGTGATTTGGGGTTCAAATTTGGTTTTTGTGTGGGATGTATACTCGGAGATGCTACCTACCTTGTGCCTTTTTCCTGACCTCAAACGTAATAGTAAAGTTTTTCACAACAGTAGTTACAAGTTCGGTAGCACGAAGGAATGATTTGCAAGAAAGTACCCCAAATTGAACCCCAAATCCTTGCCGATCAATAGTAATAAGAGACGCTACGGTTCTTTTTCCTGTCCGTACTTACGAGTCATAAGGCAAACATATCTGTATAATGGAGTAAGAAAGGTTTGTCGATGATTTTTAAACGATACGAGGTTAACCCGCCGCTTCGCTGACGGTCCAACTGCATACGTGTAGCGTGTAACCAATAATGCGTAATTTACAGAGCATAACGACGGAAATAAACTATTTAAGCACTATAACCATTCCTCCTACAGGTCTACGTAAAAGTCTACATCTTTTGTAACACCTCTTCAGCTGGCCTGTTATTAGAATCTTAAGGCTTTATCTAGACGTAGTCCTAGAACAAGCAACATAAAGTTGGCCATGAGAAAATACTGGAGTCGGCAAATAAATTCCTACGTGCCTTATTGATGGTCATGGCAAATACAAAGGCAAAATTCAGAGGAAGAAAGGCACGTGATCCAGAAAATTCTTTTACGTTCTGCGTTAACTGGTTTCGATGCATTGGCGTAACGTTACTTGCCGCGAGGGCCTTTTCATGGATATCTTCTAGTCCATAAGTTATAATTTGTAATTGATAGAACCTAGTTCAAAAGTCTGGCCGACTGCTCTTCAAGAATTATCGCAAATTACCACCCTCTACATATTCCATAACCATTAAGTAGTTTCCAGTCTGAGCCTCATCGCTGATAAGTCGAGATATTTCCCTATTTCTTGTGGAGTTTTTGAGACAGCCCAGAAAAAATTGTTAGGAATGTGATTTGCCTTTATAGTGTATCAAAAAAATCTACTAGTAAAAAATTCTCAGAAATACACTATATCGGATAGGTTTGAACCTTTATCCACTATATCGCGATTTTAATTAGTCTCCACTATAAAGGAGGTACACTATAAAGAGAGCCTCTGTGTATATATAGATATTAATATAGATAACTTGTCCAGACCGCCAGAAATTGGACAAAGTCTACTCGTTGATTATTATTTGGGGATTAAAAAAAAAGGCCTAATTTCTTTGAAGACGATTTTCTGTTTTTGCGAATGCACCATCAGTCGTATGGGGAGACTTATAATTTTATTAATGGTTGTGCAAAGACTTTTGTAACACACTGTAAATAACTCGGGTTACCCCGATCAACAATATAAAGATCTTCGATGACGTAATTTGTGACACTATAATATTAATGAAATTCAATCGCTGACGACAAACCACATTTCAGCTCCCGCAAAATTTCATCAATCTACACGAGCTGTACCATTACGCAAACGCAAGAAGCGTAAATCAAGGGGATTGATTATAAATTGATAATATAAGTTCTTCTGACACGCTTTGGTGTCTAATTGTCGCCCAAAAACGTATATTTGAAACTTTAACCTTCGCGATAAACAGGAGATAGCGAATTTGAACTCTGCAATACCTTGATAGAAACATATGGTAGATTAAACAGCTAAAGAAATGCGGCGCGACTAATCAAAGATGCCAAACAACGCAGTTACTTTGACAGTTTTATTTATTTTACACCAATATTTTGAGAGCTAGAAATAATGTTTTTATAATATATATATAAAAGATAATGTGCTCTAAATTAAGCACGTTAAAAGAGCTTGTTGATTGTAAATTTTGCGGATACTCCGATGTTAATACAACAATAGCTTGGCAAGTAATTCTTACATCTTGTTTATGATAAATATGTCTTTTGCTATAACAGAAATGTTAATTTCCAATAGTTAATATAAAGGCATCCGATTGGATGTTTTAATATAAATGACTCGTATACTTAATCGGGACAAATTGTGATACACAAGCAAGTTCATGACTTCTTGGTGGGTCGGCTATATTAATATGGTTGCTTTCAAAGAAAAATGGTCAATAAAATAAGCTTTGATTGACACGGTTTATAATAATACCCCAAGAGTCGATACCGTTACTTATAGTATCTATGACACAATTATTACTAGAAAGGTATTATATAGTAGATAAGTAACTGTAGATGTTAAAGAATATTCAATGGGTGAGTCGATTCTCTTCTATTTGTTTACCAATTTACGGATTGTGTAACATACCGGCAATGTTTCACGTTAGATGAATGAATATTCAATCGCTAAGTTTCTATTTGTTTGCCAATTTCTATAGTAAGAACTAATTTGGCAAAGGCAATTTCCGTGTGTGACATATCAGTGTAATGCACGTTAGTTTAAATACAAGACACTCGCCATGACACCCGTCATATTTCCAATATGAGCCGCGAGAAACAAAGTATTAATCTCTCGGACACTACACAAGCTGTGGCTAATCCGCCACCACACAAACGCAGGAGGCATAAATCGAGGGAAATTGATTATACAGGACATCTCCCAATTATGACAGTTAAACAACGTAATCGACAAACTATAACCAGACCCAAAAAGATTTGTAAGAAATGCCAACAACGGGAAAAGGAGCTTGAAACCGTGGAAAGTAAGTTAGAAAAAGTTGAAAAGTTGGTGGATGAGCTAAAGATGAGCATAGACGACGTTCACGAAGAAGTCAAAGAAGAAGGGAGCAGTAACAATAACGCAATGTTTGCTGGCTGGGTAAGAATAATGTTATAACTATTACGCAAATCTTTATCCAGAAAGTCTAAATCTATTTGTACATAGAATTAGCTAGGTGCTTGATATAAAGACCTCATAAATCTGTTGAGGCGACTTAAAAGATAAAAATAAATTATAGCAACAGAAAATAATAAAATTCTATACTAATTATCTTTTCATTTGGTAGACAACAGAAAACCTAACCAGTTTTGCGAGCCAAATAAGTTTAACACTTGCGACTCGTGCGAATAAACAACAACTAAGGCGATATTCTCTCAAGTGTAACGATCAAGAGGAGAAATTGACAGATATTGAGATAGCGCGGTTGCTTCTTCGCCTTAAGCAAATCTAATATTATACATTATGTTACATAAGAATTTTAGTATGTTTCTATGATAATAATCGCACAAATTATGAATAAATATGGTCTCTATGGTGGTTATATTAATGTTGGCAGTAATGGCGTAATTGATAATAATGTGACAACAACCTTCTTTAATTTGTATAGATGATTGACGACATTGCTCTGTACCTGGGAATTTGGATTCGCCAACAAAATCAACAGGATTGTGTTTCCATGGCTGTTTTATTGTGTGAAACGATAATTATATACCCGTATTGGGGTAGGCTAAAGCGGAGTAGTTTTTTTACAATTTCATTGGTTGATATACAAATTTGACCAATGTAATTGCAAGAATCAGGTCACGTTCTACTTCGCTTTAGCCATCCTCTCGTTGGTTGTCACACCTGCCAAAAGTATTTGTTGTATCGCCCTTAAACTGTATTGTCGGCAGGTTTTCCCTCAAATTAACGTCTATGTAACGTTGCAGATAATTTCTCATAGTTTTTGGGATGCTGTCAGCAACTGCCTGAACGTCCTTGCCAAAAGTTCTTTCTTGATTCGAGGGAATAAGAGAAAAATCACAAGGCAAAGATCTGGGGAAGAACTGCTGACTTATGTGGCACAGCATTATCACGACAGACGTTCTTCTGGCAGGATACTACTTACATAAATCTTACCAGTAACTGTATGCCCTTTCTTCCGTGCCATGACCCGTCTACGGTATAACGTTCTTTTTTTTCGAGTTTTGCACCGTTTTCACAATTTGTGGTCTGTTCTTATCTACTTCTTTACTTGAAATCGTAAAGAAATATCACCATGTTTCATTCCTAGTTATAGTATTGCATAGTTCTTCTACTCATTAGGTCTAAGATTAAATGATGATGTATTTTCTCATTTCGCATTAGCATGGTTTGTACACCCGTAAACAATTATAATATTAACGTTAGGGAAATGCATCCGCTAACCGTAATAGAAAGAATTGAAATCTCGAGATATAAGAAGCGTACTCCGATACTCCTTTCTAATAAACGAGCAGTTCTTTATACTCTGAAAGGGTCCGGTTCATTTCACCGACATAAATTTAACATAAATTTTATCGAAACCCAATGATAAGTGCGATAGACAATGTCTCACGTGAAATGAAATGATTGTCGGTGAAATAAATGCCTCCCCTTGAAATACATTATTCGTTCTCTGGTAAATTATTCGATGTAGTTATAAACCACTAATCTCTATATCGATTGGAAATATCCGCCGTTGATATTCTCTTGGCATTACGATTGTTATTCGCTTAAGTGGAAATGCATTTCAGATAGATACAAGTATGCCATAACCTATAGGCTTCCGAATTAATTTCATCGGAAGGGGAAATAGTTGATTAAGAGTGCGAATAAGGTCGTGACTAATAAAGCCTAGTTTACAGGTCACTAACTGTCGTCGTATTTAAATTGAAAATAGGAAAAGCCACAGCTCCGTTTGAAAGCGGCTCTCCTGCGGTTATTGACTCGACAATAGGTCGTCAACTCTTTGACAATTTCTGACATCACTGCTTCGTTTCTCATCTCCATCTTCGGAATGATCTATTTTGGACTGGTCAGCTGATCGTTGAAATGGGTCCGTATTATTTCATCGACAATCATTTCACCGACAGCACATTTCACCGACAGCACATTTCACCGACAATTAACTACCAAAAGAGGATAACTTCGAAATAATGTTGGTGAAGATTTGTCGGTGAAATGATTGTCGGTGAAATGATTGTCGACGAAATGATTGCCTCCTGTTGAAATATGACCATTGTTGTGTCTGAGTTGGGGACCTGTCTCAGTTTGGAACCCAGTCACTCAGTCCAGAACTCAGTTGTCTCAATCCAGAACCGAGACAGGTCCCCAACTGAGGTACGATGGGGGGGGGGGGTATATTCGTAATGCCTTTGTTCTTATTCACGAGATGTTTTATTACTCTTTAAAACACTGAGAATGAGCTACCAGTAATATCAAGTTTTCCGATTTGTTTTTGTTTGCATAAATGGCTGAACTGACTATATTCGAGTTATAAGACTTTGTTTTGGCTGGAGGGAGTTTAGCGACATGGTAAAAAATAATTCCAATAATCAATGTTGCATCTGCTATTTATTGGGTGTTCTAAAAATAAATAATATAATAATAAATAAATAGTATCCGGGTACAAGGTACAAAGTGTTACACAAGTAAATAACATGCAAACTCATAAGGTTTTTTGAAGGAAAACGGTCAACAAAATGGCTGACAGAGTGTTTAATAGGGGTTTTTAAGGATTCGATAACGTATTTGTGACACTATCATTACTAGGAATATTTAATAAGCTCATGCTGTCCTATTTGTTCAACAACTTTTTACAACAGCGAACAAATTTATAGCGTTCGGTGATAACCTGTTGTATCACGCAAGCAACATCGCGGTTTCTGATAAATACACGGACGCTCGCCTCATTGCTGATATTAGAAATATCATCAATGAGCCGCGAGAAGCAAAGCATTAATCTCTCGGACACTACGCAAGCTGTGGCTAATCTGCCACCACACAAACGCAGGAGGCATAAATCAAGGGAAATTGATTATACAGGACGTCTACCGATTATGACAGTTAAACAACGTAATCGACAAGCTATAACTAGACCCAAAAAGATTTGTAAGAAATGCCAACAACGGGAAAAGGAGCTTGGAGCCATGGAAAGTAAGTTAGAAAAAGTTGAAAAGCTGGCGGATGAGCTAAAGATGAGCGTAGACGACGTTTCACGAAGAAGTCAAAGAAGAAGGGAGTAGTAACAATAACGCAATGTTTGCTGACTGGGTAAGAATACTGTTATAATTATTACGTAAATCGTTATCCTAATTATTTTACCTCCCCCTTTTATTTGGTAGACAACAGAAAGCCTAAACCTATTTGTACATAGAATTAGCCAGGTGTTGATATAAAGACCTCATAAATCTGTTGAGGCGACGCACCTTAAAAGATAAAAATAAATTGTAGCAACAGGAAATAATAAAATTACGCAAATTTCTATACTAATTATTCCACTCTTTTTATTTGATAGACTACAGAAAACCTAACCAGTTTTGCGAGCCAAGTAAGTTTAACACTTGCGACTCGTGCGAATAAACAACAACTAAGGCGATATTCTCTCAAGTGTAACGATCGAGAAGAGAAATTGACGGATATTGAGATAGCGCGGTTGCTTCTTCGCCTTAAGCAATTCTAATATTATACATTATGTTACATAAGAATTTTAGTATGTTTCTATGATAATAATCGCACAAATTATGAATAAATATGGTCTCTATGGTAGTTATATTAATGTTGGCAGTAATGAAGTTGTGTTCTTTTAATTTCTACAAACGATTGACGCAAATTGTCGCATCACTGTATATCCCTAATTAACATTTAGTCAGGGGGTATTGCACTTATGCATAAACTTACAACCACACGCTATAGTACTACTCTTCTACAATTAAATTTGATCATTAATAAGCACCCCCCGAGATTATCATATTAACACCAACCCATGTTTGAATACATATTATAAATTACATGGTTACTGCAGTTACTACCCGTTAGTATTGTTTTAAATTATTTTCTATGTAATGATATCCCAATTATTTTAATAGTACAGTAGAACTTGTAAATATCGTCAAACTCCTCTACATGCATCTCCTCTAAATGCTAAGCGCATGCCTTTTTTTTTTGTCCCGAGTTCGGACTTCTCTGTTATTGCATACACCTTTTAAATGCATGTGCAATCGATTTTCTATAAATCTTATATAATCATCTACCGTATTTCTCTGAATAAAGTACCCCCTGAATAAAAAATCTCTCAGAAGTTTTTTGAGGCCTGATTTTGTATTATAAATAAACTGCGAATACCCCCTATTTCTATTTGCAATATTAATATATAAGGTACTTGAGTAACATTTTAGTCTATCATGTATTAGTTTCTCCCACGAACGATGAACCTTATTACTAAGTCGTGCTCTGCGAACAGTATTGTTTCTTGTCATGATGTTTAGCCGACGAGAATGCTGCATATATGTTTCGCATATATGTACACCACTAGGTAGTCACCCTCCTTACATCAAAATACCCCCCGAATTAAGTACCCGAGTCAGAGAAATACGGTAAGTACATATATCACGTAATACGGTCACTCTTGATAAGATGAAGACGTCGGGCTGGACCAAAACAGCAATATTATCGAGAGTTTACTATAACGAAAATTTAAAAATATGTAGACTTTAATGTTTGCATTTATTAATTGATAAATGTCGAACAATTGGCGACTGTTTATTTTGTTTTGAGACACGTAACTATACTGCGCCAGTATTACGGTAATAGGAACACAGATAACGTACTGTATGTACATCGCAATGAAACGTAATCACCCAATATGGCAGTTTATTAGAAGCAATATTTCCCATTTAATATATGTCTATGATGTCAATAAGCATGTCGAAAACTTATAAATAAGCGCAAGATCCATGGAATTAAAGCGTACGATTTCCACAGACCATAACACTTGCATCCATTTAGTATCAAAACATACTGCTACAACATGACCATTATGGAGTCATCGATTTATCTTCGCTACCGGGAATGCTCGACGAAAACGTCACAAAAAAAAACCTTTTGATAGGGCAATTTCCGAACTGTGTATCACACAAGCTGTAGCTAATTCACCACACAAACGCAAGGCCCAAAGTGATAAAGATAAAGAACTGACTTTATTCGACCCAAGCGTAAATCGAGGGAACTTGATTATACAGGACGTCACCACATTATAACAGTCAAACAATGCACTCGACAAGATATGGCTAGACCCAAAAGCGTTTGTAAAAATGCAAATAAAGGGGAAAAAGTTGAAAAGTTGGTGGATGAGCTGAAGATGAGCGTAGACGACGTTCACGAAGAAGTCAAGGAAGAAGAGAGCAACAACAATAAGCCGACCGGGTAAGCAATTGAAATCTTGTCTAGAAATGAATAATGTTATAAACATTACTACACTTTCTTCCTTTCATTTGGTAGACAACGGAAAACCTAACCCGTTGTCTGGACGGGGCAAGTTTAATATTTGCGAACGTACAGCAACAAAGGCAAGGAGCTCGAGAAGAAAAATTGACAGACATCGAAATGGCGCTGTTGCTTCTTCGTCTTAAGCACAATAACATGTAATTAGTTTATTATACATTATATTATATAAGAATTTTAGTATGTTTCTATGATAACAATTGCACAAATTATGAATAAATATGGTCTCTATGACAGTTAAAAAATTAAAAGTTGGCAGTAATGGCGTAATCGATAATAATGTGACAACAACCTTCTTTAATTTGTATAAACGATTGACGACATTGCTAATTCCCTCGCATTTCTGTATGTGAGGGTATTCCCTCAAATTAACGTCTATATAACGTTGCAGATAAATTTACCAATTCTGGAAGGACTTCTCATAGTCAGCTTTTGGGATGCTGTCAGTAACTGCCTGAACGCCCTTGCCAAAAATCCCCTTCAGTTCTTTCTTAAAAGAAATGATACAATTATTATTGGTCAAATGGGCGTTGACTATGGCAGTGTAATAATCTATTTTTGGATTGGTCAGATGATCGTTGGAATATGACCATCAAAAACTTTCATTAATTACATTTAATATGCCCCACCCGATGTTGGTGATATTGAACAATTCTTGGACCTTAAGCAAACTCAAATCTCTGCCTTTTACAGTTTTATCACGTATCAACAACACCTTGTGGAATGATCTATTTTTGGATTGGTCAGATGATCGTTGAAATATGACCATCAAAAACTTTCATTAATTACATTTAATGTCCCACCAGATGATTTTGCTGATATTGAACAATTCTTGGACCTACTCAATTTGCAGTTTTATCACGTAACAACACCTTGTGGAATGATCTATTTTTGGATTGGTCAGATGATCGTTGAAATATGGCAACAAAACCAGACAAAGTGAACATTCTATTATGTGGCATAAATGAGAGGCTGATGTGGCTGAAAGTTAACTGATTTGACTAATACACGTACTAATAACATTTTGATTATCACCAACAATAACTTGTACACAAATTGTAGATGCATTTTTACCCAAACTCTCCACTTATGAAATTTACCAAGAACAAAAAAAAAATAGACCATAAACGAACCTTAACCCCAACTTATGATGAACCAAGAAAGAAACGAAAGCTAGAAACATAAAGCAAATATCAGTTTCTTTATTATTGTTAATTATCGATAATTTCCGTGATTCTTTATATACTGTTCGATAAGAACAGCATTAAATCGATAATTTTTGTTCGCTGTGTCCAAGTATTACAAATCCGACACAATTTATGACCAGCAAAACCTGTATCTATTAAAAACAATGGGTAAGTATCAAAGGTAATAAAAAAGAAATACTAGAATAAATCATTACGTTTGATCGGCAAATTATAAAACCAGCACCATTTCACCCAGATTTTCGCTTAAAAAATTGCAATCGACCGAGTTGCAACCGCATTATCGAAAGCATAATTTTTATTATCTACAAAATCAAATAACAATACCACTCAAAATGTTTACCTTCGCTATTGAAATCTTCTGCGAGTCACTACTGCTGATCACATTTATCGCCGGTACTTCGTTCTACTACAAAACTCACAATCAAGTCCGTATCATAACTCAAACGCTTTTTCAAGCGATAAAATCAAGGACAATTGACCAGCTGCTCATTGAGCGAAAATACTTATCAAGTATAACATGTTTGTGGGAAGGTCTTAACAAGTTATTTGATAAAAACTTCTGAGCTGGACTCAGTCTTATTCAACAAGATGGTTATAAAATACCATAAAGTACGCGGAAGAAAAAGCATTATCACTTTTAGTCTAAAAGGCCTATTCTCGAAAAAAACAATCAAAGCGCTCAAAAAATGGGTAGATAAAGAAAAGGAGAAGAGAAACATAGATGTTAACAGCATTTATAATAATATATAGCATAGATTTCACTAGAGCGACCAAATATAGGGGTACTCATTTATGGCTTTGGGTCCGAGTATTTCCTCCCATGAAATCGTTCTAGTGAATATGCAAACGTACTGTACATTGTATGTAAAAAGTAATAAACAAGAAATTAAGTATATCAATCATTGTAAATATCCTGATTATGTTAATCTTTTGCAATTAATATACCCGCCAATTGTCCCAATTTAATGAAAACATGGTCTCCCATTCATAATATCATGCTGTCATATAGACTACGATCACAAGAATAACGTTTGTTGATGGAGATTCTTGTTTTGGCTCTGTTCAGAGAAGGAATTATTTTCTGCATTACAATTGTTATTACGTGGTTGTAACGCATTGATTATCATTGGTCACATTATGCACATTAGTTACATTGTGAAAAGATCTAGAAAGTTCCCAATAATTAATAATACGTCATTGATATCATTCTTCATTATCCACTATGAATACTGATGAACGCCTTGTAAAACTGAAGCAACGATATGAATCCGGCCTTATAACAGAAGAAGTTTATGGGCAATGGCAGCTCAAAATCCTTGAAGAAGAGGATAGAGGTAATGACTTTGTGACTTGGATGTTGGTGACATAGAGTAACATGTACATGGATAGAATAGTAATATGATTTCTCATATTAAAATTTATTCTGTTTCCCTCATTTATTCACTTTAACATGCATTTGTGGTCTCTTTTCTGTTTCTTTATAATTAGCACAAAATACTGTGAAAACAGGTAACACACAAAGTTAATCACTAGTTAATATTGTTTTTTGTTTGTGTTCATATAATTTACTAACCAGTTATTCTCATTTGTGATTTTGTTTCCTTCAGAAAGGAAAAGGAAGAAGCCAGGTGTGTAGTATGCACTTGCATTTCTAATATTCTTTTTTTTTGTTTAAGATATATTGACATTCTTATTTGCATAATACTTCATAACACTAGATGTCAGCCTCAATGTACTGGATACTTATCGGGAAAAATGCTGCATTATCCTTCCTGAGATCCATGAACTTGAATCCTTTCTTGAAAACAGTCTCCGAGAGGACATGAAAATTCCACTCTCACAAGATCAATTTGATATGCTCATCAGCATGCAACTGAATGATCCATGTACACCAGAAGATATTGCAGTCTTGTTTCGCATTTCTGACACTGAAAACGCCTTCCAACTTTTTACAAAAATGTTTACATCAGCCCTTTGGAGTTTCATACCTCCAGCCAATTCAACAGAGGACACTTTTCATTCTCTCTGGGACAGAAACATAAGAGACATCCTTCAGTATATCCTTCCTGAGGGTACTTCCATCCGAAATACATGTCATGGAACCAGTACCAATACAAAGCAGCCAGACTTTGGATTTATTCTCAATGGGGTTTGCCCCTTCAGAGGGGAAGAGAAATCCCAAGAAAGTGGAGTTGATCCTAGGTGCGAACTCCAGGAGAAGCTTGTCTGGAGCTATGGTAATGTGCCCTACATTTTAGGTAAGATTCTCTGCCTTATTTCAAACAAATATATGTTTAATGCTGAGTTAAATTTCTGGTTCACTGTTAGGGTATTATGCAAATGGGCCCATTGTTGTGTTCACTGCCATTTGCCGACCTTCAAGTACCTCAAATCTGCCAGAACTTGTTGACATTGTGACTTCAGATCTCCGAATGCTGCATGGACGAATATATCACCTTCGACGTATGATCAATGTCTCCTTCCTGCTATCATCAATCACAGATATAATTGGCTGGCATGGGGCACCTGAGTTTCAGGTGGTTGAAAGAAGGGACACTAATATGGAAGTATTACGCACTATTGAGGTTTGTGGAACAAACATAAGGAAGGCCTTTATGGGTTCAAATCGTGCTGCATGCCTGGCAAAGCTTCAGAATGTCTATAACACATTAGCTGAAAAACGGGTACCAAATGTCGATTATCTTGTCTACAAGAGGGAATCCATAGAGAATCAGCAATCTGTTGCATATCTCGCACCAAAAGGCATGAGCACCTACCCGAAAACTGAAGAAGAACTGATTCAAGCTGTTTCTTGCATTCTTGAAGCACTAGTGGTAAAAATACACATCCTCAGAAATCTTTTCTCTTTTTAACCAAATGCTTATTGCTATAATGTTCAACACAGGTTATGCACAGTACTCCCAATCCTCTATTCCACCGTGATATTCGGTGGCCAAATGTAATTCGCGCATCTGACAACCTGTTGAAATGGTTTCTTATTGATTGGGACGAGGCAGCCAGTCCACCAACTCGTGCAGCAACTCATCTTGAGCGAAGTTGTCATGCACCAGAAGTGTTAAATGACTGTCATGGCGGGGAAGTGGATGTCTGGGGTGTCGGACATTTGATCAAAGAATCGTCACATTGGATCCTCGGTCTTTCAGATAACATTGTACAACTGGGTGAATGGATGCAGACTAGAGGATCGGAGAGGCCGGATGCCTCTGCTGCTCTAAAAGCGATTAGAGCATTACAGTGGAACATGAATAAATAGTGACGAAGTGAAAATCTATACATAGGATTAAAGCAGTGGGATTTTTTTCCAAGTGAAAACAAATAATCCTAGTTTCGCGAGCCAAGTAAGTTCACTTGCGGCTCGTGCGAATAAACAACCACAAAGGCGATATTCTCTCAAGTGTAACAATCAAGAGGAAAAATTGACGGATATTGAGATAGCGCGATTGCTTCTTCGCCTTAAGCAAATCTAATATTATACGCTATGTTACATAAGAATTTTAATATGCTTCTATGATAATAATCGCACAAATTATGAATAAATATGGTCTCTATGGCAGTTATATTAACGTTGGCAGTAATGAAGTTATATTCTTTTAATTTCTACGAACTATTGACGCAAATTGTTAATTCCCTCGCATCACTGTAATCCTTAATTAACATTTAGTCAGGGCTTATACATAAACTTACAACCACACGCTATAGTACTACTCTCCTACAATTAAATTTGATCATTAATAAGCAACCCGTCGAGATTATCATATTATCACCAACCCATGTTTATAAATTACACGGTACTAAGCTTTTTCATGGAACCGATTCATTCATATATTAATATGCTTAGCGCCCGGTTTAACGAAGATTTATAATTAAAATCTGTATAACGATATAGCGAAGAAATTTCAAACCCGCTATAAGATAAACCATGATATACCGAAATTTTGGTGCATAACGAAATTCGTTATACACAGTGAAATTCACTTTAACATTCGTTCCACGATTTTGCTTCGTTAACCTGAAAGTTCGCTTAAGTGAACTGTCATTTTATATGAAATGTATGAATCTGTTCTGGAAAAAATTTTGTTATAAAGCGACGAGAGTGAATTTCACTGCGTAGTATTACTGTATATAGAGATTTAAACAATACACTGTAACGAATATCACATGACTATAATGAAAGTTCATTATATAGGTAGAAGTCCGCTTTAACGAACAGTCCGCATTAACGAAGTTTTTTGGCGGAACGGAGCTCTTCGTTAAAGCGGACTTTACTGTGTATTTTAATAATAACAATATAACAATAATAATAATGGTATTAGTATGCTCGATAAATTGATTACCAAATTATAGTGATAATTACACACTTCTGTTAATCGAGATCGTTTTCCTAATCTTGGTTCTATATAACTCGCAATATAACATCATTATGATGTTATATTGCAAGTTTATTTGTTCTCACTATATCGAGCCCAATTTTATTATAACTGACTTGATTCCAGAAAAAACCAACATCATCTTATGGGGATCATTATATCGAGTGACTGTGTAGTTATAATTAATCAGGAACGTATCTATGTTACACACGTATACGGTTTTATGCAAGCGACACTTTACCTTACTGTATAACATGCATGTAAAACAGCCAATCCGTTCATTCATCGAGTTAACAAAACTGCCTTTTTAGTGCAAGTACACCTTTAGCGTTCAATCGTATGTAGGTGTAACTAATAAAGGAATGCAAACTTAAACAAATTATAATTTCCCCTGAAAAAGCGTTTGTTCTGACCCAAATAGGAATAAACACAGTGATCACAATTGTACGCATACACATCGGGGTATGTATCCCATAATGGCGATAGTGCAGAATTCATGAAGTCGGTATACTCTATCTGGTCATTATCCCAAGTTGGCTACAGGATTCGATATCGATATCATAAAAACCTTCAGTGAGCGATATAGTATTTGGTCATATGAGATAAAACTCAATTACGTCCTTTTATTCAATATGCCAAAAGGAGGTACTGGTATTCATGATATCAACTCCACAATTCCGCACCATCTTTACGTTCCCATTATGGAATAAATTAGCAATTTGGAAGACTTTCGGCAAGTGTACTGTCAATGGAACATATTTATTTACATCTATTATTTACACGTTTATATTTACACATTAGTTATTATAATTATCTGTCTAATATAATCAATTAAAGCCATTTTCTTATTTGTTTGCTCATAATTATACTTCTCGAAAGGGGGTGGGGGCAGTGGACAAACGCTTAATTTAAAACGAGCACATAAAAAATAAGGAACCATGTTGATTGTGTGAAGGGGACATATTGAGAATAACGTAAAATTAAACACATAAAAGATAGATAGAGAGAAGAGACCATATTGACTGTGTTAAAGTGGATAAAGCTTAAAATCTTGACTAGGGGCAGTGGATAAACACTTAAATAAGTACATAAAGATAAGAAAAGCATATTGATTGTAGGAAACTGGCATATCGTGATTAAATACATAAAATGGAAGGTATACAGTGGATAATAAAATTAAGGATAGGAAAACTGTGCCGCTCAACAAATGTCATATTTGTGCATATAAATCAAAAATCGATTTTATTTTCTGACCGGATCCGAAATTTAGTCCTTCAGCGATTCGGGATGTCCATTCCCGTTCTTCCGGATGGACAGTCGTCTCTCTTGGCAAGACCGTAACCGTCCGAGGGTAGATGATAGTCATGTAGTTAGCAGTACGACTCGTATTTCTTTTGGCCCGGCGAGGCCCAAGTAAAAGGATGTCTATGTCCAGCGTAGCGATTCATGAACGTGACGTGTTATTACGTTTGAGCATTCCGACTGGTAGCGAAGATAAATCGATGACTCCATAACGGTCATGTTGTAGCAGTATGTTCTGATATTGAATGGATGCAAGTGTTATGGTCTGTGGAAATTGTAAGCTTTAATTCCATGAATCTTGCGCTTATTTATAAGTTTTCGACATGCTTATTGACATCATAGACATACATTAAATGCCTCTAATAAACTGCCATATATGGTGATTACGTTTCATTGTGATGTACATACAGTACGTTATTCTGTGTTACTATTACCGTAATATTGGCGCAGTATTGCTGCGTATGTTTAACGTGTCTCAAAACAAAATAAACAGTCGCCAATTGTTCGACATTTATTAATTAATAAATGCAAACATTAAAATAAAGTTTACCAGCCGAAGTCTACATATTTTATGATATTTACACATAATTAAACAGGCACGATCAATTGCCAACATGCGCAGTCCGCAATCGGCGCTTACGTACGCTAGGCGTAGTGAAAGTAGCGTCAGTCTTGGCTTGATACTTTATGTGAGATGCAATATAACGCCATCGAACGCCACAGACCAGTCTTTCTTCTAATTAATCGAGTCATCTTTGTCTTTATCAACTCAAACTCATGTCAACAAAACCGTGTCGAAATCAACGATTAGTTGTACATGAAATCTTTTTGTCGAACAGAAAACTAAACGAGAAAGACAAGTTTTCCGAGTTCATTAATCTAAGAAAGAAATACTAACTCCGGTCCGAATGCCGACATTTATTTACAGACCTTACGTGTATTGCTTTGTGACGTGTTATGCGTTGTGTTTTTATTACCTTATTTATACTGCGTTATCAGCTGATTGACAATGAGAGTATACTATAAATATACAATTGCATCCAAATAACATGACCATTGCATTGTAAATTATCCAAAAAAATTTTTGGCTTTGTTTGCAAATAAATGGAAAAACTCATTTTGCGTTTGTGTTGCAAGCAATATTGAATGAGCAGCGGTGTAGCGGTAACGCATCCAGAGAAAACAAAGGAATAGGTTCTGGAGCTTGTTGCTGCAGATTTGAAGATTGGGATGGTCGATATAAGAAATGCGGGAAGTTGAATACTAATAGACTCATTGTTATTTACGTAAGAACTTGTGATGACGTATGAACACCCAATAAACAAACAAACGGAGTTATTAACTACGGTATCAATATAAAAAAGTTGATATTAATCAATATAATTAATATATTGCATACGAATACCCAAATACGTTAACTGCATCATAACAACAGCCCATTATGACAACATGTGATGAGGGATAATTTAATAAGTCACAGTAATTCCGTAATACAAACGAGCTTCGATATAACAATATTGCATATAACGACAGTCTTGTTATGCCGACAGAAATCGTAGAACAATAAGTCTATACACAGTCAACCCCGTTAATCCGAAACCCGTTTAACCGAAGAACTAAGTAAAACCCCGCTAAATCGAAGGTAAGTTCTAAAACCTTTATTAAATTTACCCGTTAATCCGAATTTCTTAGCATTTCCCACCTATATTCCCGACCCACTTCGGTTTAACGGGTTTCACTAATTATAAACTTTTGTTATAATATAACGTCTTTTTTTTGGCAAATGCTTATTGGACAAATCCAAATAAATTATCGGCATATACCGACATGTAATGACAGTCGTTCCTTCGAAAACAACCGAATTAGCAAACCTGAGTGCAGATTTCTTTATTTTCTATTCGTGCGGTTGGAAGATATGCCGATATTGACCTTTTGCCAAAATTGGGAGAAGATGAGTCGACGAGTGGAGATGAGAGTGACATGAGGTAGATGAATATATTAATATTTCAAACGTTGTTATTATTAGCACATCGGACACTCTAAGATATGAAAGACTTATCAACAACAAAGCGAATTTAAAGTAAGTTTATTCTTTGTAACTGAGTTGATTAATTTTTTTTAAAAAAAAAAAAACAACTGAGCATCGCAAGAAATAAACAAACGAAAATTGGTAGCTTTTTTGCTCCTGCAATGATGCTTGAGTTATAACAGTTGTCTATTGTATTTATTCAATACAAAATCGAAAATTATTATTTTTGACATAGCGAACTTTGCTTAGTTGTCGTTATAAAAATTAAGTCCCGGTACAAGGACATACTCGATATAGTGATTGAGACCCACTGTATGATTTCTTTATTTGGGATAACATAAAGATTGCGCAGTAAATCGGAGAATCCTTTTGTTACACATGATAGGCAATTGTAACACTAAAGTGTTCTGGCCCGTGGAGATTCACCCGGCCCAGTTCGAATTAGACAACGTGCCAATTTCGAATCGGGCCGGATTTTTTACATATATAAAAATAAGAATAATTCAATCATGAAGTTGTCCGTTATTTATATTGTGCAATTTTTAAACGGCATTATTGATATAGATACTAAGCACTTGTACGATATAATTACAGTAGACATCCGAGCTAATAAATAACTCCTTACGTACATCACTCTGTTAGGCGTTTATGCGCATCCTATATCTCTCTATCCCTTATTGCAATAACTAGACAAGCATGCTGATATTGTAGAGAACGTTCTAATTGCGAAGATGTTAAAAAAAGACAAGAGTCTGAAACCATCGTATATGTAAAGGAAGGTGTACTAAACGTTTGAATAACGGTTCTTTTCAAATTGTCAAGTCGTGAACCCAATCAATCATTATTCAAATAGCTTCAGAGAATATTTGAATTTGTATACGGTAATTTCTTTGAGCCTGTAAGAAATATATAATAAGTGTAAATGACTTTATAATGATAATGCTAAACATAGTAAACATTATATTTTAATATGTGTTTATCAGCTTGGGATAAACATCGAACTTTTAGTTATTGACGGTGAGATAAGACGATGGTTATTACAATTCAGAAACTCAGCTAAAGACAATATAATAATAAACCAAATTTCATTTCAAGAAGTTCATATTGTTGGTATAACACACAATTGTTATAAATATTATCAATATTGTAGAACTGGAAAATCTTCATGGGTTCGCCATATTCATTGGCAAGGAACATTTGTTCTGGATGAATGGGATAAATGAAGCTCGTTAGACTAATAAAAATAGATAAATCTATATAAATAATTAATCAGTTGTCAACTGAAAACTTATAGTGCCCGATAAAAATAAAGAAGAAATTTTAAGTCATGGTTCAACACCATGTTTATAATACGTAATCCAGATGGATAGTGATTTTAAAAAAAGCTATTGTAATTGTAATGTTGGTTATAAAAGCCCCTTTTCCAGGTGATGAATAATAAAAACTGGTTTATAATGTAAAAAAGGTCGACAATTTACGAAGCAAAAAATCTCAATAAAGTTTAGGTTTAATATATTATTTATTAATTATTGTCAATCGTTAAACTAATAAATTATGTATAACCCGATGACGTAATTTACATAGACGTGTAACCACTCAACTGCGACTCTTCATACTTAAATTCCGTTGCCGAAAAAACCTGTTGAATTGATTCTGGGTGTGGTAAATAGGACGCCCTAGACATTCGGTGGTGTTCTTTTTTGTTGCCGAAAAAAAGCCATTGAATTGATTTCGGGGTGGCGAATAAGCATTGATCAGTGAATTGAAAGCTCTTTGTGGCACAGCACGCGAAAGTTACCAGTCAGGTTACTCAGCCCTGTAACGGCCTGCTGTGGTCTAGACTATGACACAAATACTTACATTTCTTAATAATTAGCAACAGAGGAGGGGATAGGCGTGTATCTAATTGTGCACACAATTTTGATCCAATGTAAAAATTAAACAAATAGCGTTGTAAGTTTGTTTTTCTTTAAGGAAAAAACACGGTTACTATGCAAAAACTTATTGTCCAATGTGCAATTGTTTATTGCTAGACAATATAATAAATAAAAAGTCTGTCTATTATTTATCATTTAAGTATTGCCTAAAAAGGTCCCTACAAGCTGCTCAGGAAATACATTCATTCAATTCAGTCAAGAGACATGCAAAGAAGCAAAAACGTCCGAGCGGGAGGTCGTCGAAAGGGCCACGGAAGCTGTTAGCAACACCGGGCATCACTGTTGAATACAAGATGTTCAACTATTGTAACGAAGACGAGTTCTTGTAAAAGAGAAATAGTTAATACCATTCAAAGAACCGGCTTAGGGGCAACGCGAGATCGCGGTAGCCAATCCGGTGCCTGAACACGGAAACGTATGCTGGATGGTTTAGCATCGCGCCCTCACAACCATCTCAGCGGTTGCAAAATCAGTAGTGGAGGGGAGCAAAAGGTTGAACTATAGTGGAGAAAAAAATGGAACAGGCTGTTCAACGCCTCCATTTGTTTCATATAAGCTTGTTCGTTTATTACATTAAATAAAATTCTATACAAGTCATGTGTCTACGATGCGATCTTAACATGCTTGTTGATGATACATTTCGCCATTTTGCATCATTGCTGGCAATAGTAAGCTTTATAGGAATCCACATCACATGATAGACGAACTGACAATAATGACTATCATGTCGGAGAGAAATATTGTAGACTATAGTGAGATTGGGTAGTAGACAGGTTTCGAATTGACAAAGTCGGAACTTCATTTAGATAATTTTATTCATTAATCTCTTTCTAATTAATAAAATTATGATATTACTGGTGTCAATTTGGCTTGATTTTATGTCGGTGACTTTCGAGTAGGAAATCCATTCAAGCCTTATACTCGGTTGCGAAGGTAAGTTGTCAATAATTGTATGAGCTCCTAAAACAAACGACAACATCGTTCGGAAGCAAATATGTGACAACGTAAAAGATTTCGATACGTCTCTCTAATTTTCTGATATACACCCATCCAATGTCGCGATAATGCTTCAGTATCAATGATTGTTCTGTAAGAGTTGTTAGGAGCTCGGCATGAATCGTGGTCTGCGTCTATAGTAATCGTCGTCATCAGAGTCATAGTCGTCACCGTCATCATCAGAGTCGTCATCTTCACGATCGTCATTGTTATTACTTTCTGACTCGAGAATGGCTCTCATTCGTTCTCTAAAAGCCTTTTTCTTTTCTGCATACTTGGTCTTTGGATCTGTTGCTAGCAATGAAATAGGTAAATCCGCACTTTGCCCAAAATCAAACGCAAGCATGCCATCCTTCCTCCTCTTATTCATCTCTGCTCGATATCCAAATTCGTCGTTTTTTGCCCACCGATCCCGATCCTCAACTGCTTGATCGCCGCCGCCGCCAACTTCCCATATGGCCTTCTTGACGTTATCAAACGTTCTCTTTGAAAGTTTCGACGGCCGTTTAGTAGCAGGTACATAATTGAGTTCCAAGACTTTATGCCGAACTATATCCCTCCCATCAACCTTCCAGCCATCTCTCAAGGCCATTTCAAGCTGTTCGTTCTCGGTTGTATACCAATGGGCTATCCAATCGTTCTCCTGCTTCCACCATAATCCCGAGTCGGAATGTTTAGATATAAAGTTCGCTTTTACTGAGATTATGCGCCTTAAGACGCCTTTATAATACATCTTATCTTCCCATTTTTTGAGTTTATTGTATTCAGTTATGAATATGCCTCTAACATGAGAACCATCAATCACTTTCACAAAGTCTTTAGCGTCTGCTTTAGTTTTAAAGCCGGATAGGACAAATACTGGTTCGAATTTGCCCTTGCCCCGTTTCATCTTTGCGCCCTCTTCTTCATTATTTATACGTGGCATTGTCATCTATCAATTGGAGAGAAAACCAGGTATTTGCGAAAATTGATCACAGCATGCATATCTAAACCAAACCGATTATATTATGCTGAAAGCAAGCAGAACAGACTTGCCTCAAGGTTATCACAACCTCCAACTTTGGCTATATGCCTTCCTAGTCTTTTTAGTACGTATACGCAATTAACCCTTCGCCAATCAAAGCCCATTTTGATTTGCTTTCTAACGTCGCCAAGTTTTTTTTTTCAATCATCATGTCACGCGAAATTTAGTATTACCGATATATCACATGACATTGATAATCACTACTCATTGTGAATTTCATTCAGCAACAGCAATTCTAAACGGCAAACCTAATACTATGAATTAATCTTTAGAATCGGATGAGAATTCACGAAAAATTGCGCTCCGTCTCGCTATTCATTTGACTGCGCGCAAACCTCTTAGCCTGATATCTCATTTGATAATAACTCACACCCAAGCTTGTGTGTGATCAATGCAATGGCAAAGTTGGGTTGGGAAATACGAATGTCTTGATAAATAATTCCGACAGAAATGCAGCTTTCAAGTAATGCTAAAGGCTACTACGTAGAAGTACTGGAGATGAATTTGGACACTCTCAATAAATTGCTTCGGGACGTCAGGACACTCGCTTACTTTATAGAGCGATCATCACGTCAGTAATTCTTGCGTCGATTTTTATGAGCTTGTCTTGGTTATTTGTTCTTTGCTAATTCTCTTCTTTTTCTACAGATTTAAAGCACGAGAATTCGCTTTATAAAGACAGAACACCCCATTCGAAACTCGCTTTAAATGTGTGTGCGTTAGTTCTGGTCACATGGAGGGTTCGGGCATAACCGGAGAAGTCGCTCAAGTGTTGAAAGAAGGTGTGTGCTCGGCGTGCCTTTCCTTGCCTTCAACTAATATGTACAGATTTTCTTGCGTTGTATACATCAATACAATTGATCTATTTGGGCAATGGATGGGTGATTTGAATATTAGTCTTACAGCCGTTACTATACTATGGAATGTATCCGACTTTATTTAGACGAAAAAAGCAGATCTAGAAAAGATTGCAGGTGAACCACAAGCGGATGATGATATACTAAGAATGCTTCTTCGATCCGAGATATTATTGTCGCAATTGGCTAGTACATATGCTCAGACAGATTGAGAATGAGGCAAATCAAACGTCATTTTGCATGGTTGATATGATCTTGGCACGTATAGATGACACACTTGGTTTTATTTGTGTTGTTGGATACCATTAAACTTGCATGTTACGCGTTAAGGCATATCATGAAAGAGTGGCGATAGATCTTTATGAGTGTGGATTGAGGTTTCGAGGTCTTTATTTAGGCATATGAGTGTGGATTGATGGTTCATCACTCGCGTAATACCATCGATTAGCAGCGGAATGAAATAAGGTTTTGGTTCTTACAGGAGTGTCAGAAATTTTCTTCAATCGGAAGATTTCGAACAGACGTGGGCTTGGCTTTTATCGCATTCTAGTTATGAAGTGGCTATCACGTTTAAATACCATTATCCAATGTCCAAATGAAGGCAATCACGGTGAAGAGTTGAGCAAGATAATCTTGCTTCATTGGCCGACTGCATGAAAAAAATTTGGTTGAGTATGAAAACAATGTCAGGAAGCATGCATCATCCGGCTGGTGCTGAAATGTTTCGAACCGAGTTCTACAGGAATGATTAGCATCAAACTCATTACCAATTTATTTTCTTACATAGTCAAATGATCGCTAACAGTAAACGTGCACGATTTTATTCGGCATCTGTTAACTCGACCATATTGACATACATCGTATAATTCGAACCTTTGAATAAAACTCGTATAATAATGACTGTAAATAACCCGTGAATTACAAATTTATTCAATAAAGAGTTTGAGTGTCTAAATTATAAGAAAGGACGGCGTTAAAATTGTAAATTGACTTCATTTGTATCAACATGTAATCATACCTGCAGCTGAATCATATCATGGTTATTTCTTGGTTTAGGCAGATCTCCAGTAGGTAAGAGCGTACTAGAATATTTACTCTCCTTTTCGAGATGTGATAAGGGTTTTACATCATTATGATAAACAGCATTCCACGCGTTGTCATCAGAAATGTCATCATTAACAAGCCTTTCAATATCAAAATAAAGTGCCTCTGCATCTGGACGCTTATCAGGATCAGCATCACAACACCGCTCGGCAAGTTCCTTGTATTTCTCTGGTGTAGAATCAGGCATCGATGGTCGTGGTCCGCTCATAATGTCGCATACTAAATTTCTACCGAACTGCCTACCTCTAAAAGGTGGTTCACCAGTAGCAATCAAATACATAATGATACCAAAAGAATATACATCTGATTTCTGAGTAAAT